CAACATGCAACATGCAACATGCAACATGCAACATGCAACATGCAACATGCAACATGCAACAAAACCTTAACCAATAAACCTTTCCAGAATTCGATTGACAGATCACAAAACAATGGTTTAAAGTTGAGGTTGTGACTTGATGAATACTTCATCATCGACTTCAAACCATTGTTTCGTGGTCATCCAATTGAATTCGGGAATTCGGCGTATTTGTTGGACTTAACAGTTAGTTCGGCTGCATGCAGGCTAATTTGTTCTGAAAAAGATTTATGTTGATGTACGTTTTTATGTTATAGACCCCTTGCAGCACGTCGGAATGCATCTCAATCTGGAGGACATAACAATAGGTGTCCAATTCTCATGAGATTGGAATTCTTTTGTTTTGTCCTCTAAATTGAGATTCTTTTACGTCACATACAAGTGGTCTATTGGAGCTACTGTCTACCCAGAAGTGTTACCAGGTGTACCTGCGCAACATATAAAAGCCTTAACCCTAAATCTAAAACTTTTAACCCTTAACCCTCCTTAACCCTTAAACCTCTTGCTTAGCAGGCAGCACACTAAACAACCAAGCCACACTTACTCCTTAAAACAAGTGTGTGAGGTCACTGAGGATCAAACTATGGACCTCTTGCTTAGCAGGCAGCACACTAAACAACCAAGCCACACTTGCTCCTTAAACAAGTGTGTGAGGTCACTGAGGATCAAACTGTGGACCTTTTGCTTAGCAGGCAGCACACTAACAAACCAAGCCACACTTACTCCTTAAAACAAGTGTGTGAGGTCACTGAGGATCAAACTATGGACCTCTTGCTTAGCAGGCAGTACACTAAACAACCAAGCCACACTTGCTCCTTAAAACAAGTGTGTGAGGTCATTGAGGATCAAACTACGGACCTCTTGCTTAGCAGGCAGCACACTAACAAACCAAGCCACACTTGCTCCTTAAAACAAGCTTAGCACTCCATGCAGCACACTAACCAACCAAGCCATAATTCGTCCTTGAAACAAGTACGCGAGGTCACTAAGTATCTTCCTCCCACCCTCTTTACCACATCACTGAAATTAAACGCCTCCCGGTTAGCTCAGGTCGTTGGGCCCCGGTCTGTTGTGCGGGGAGGTCATGAGTTCAAGCCTCCGCGGCCGGACTCATACTCAGGGTCTTAAAATATCTGAGTAGAAGGTGCTGCCTTTGCTCTAAAAATCTCTGCAAATGGTTAGACCTTCGCCGTGGCTGGGATGACCACGTAAAATGGCGGTCCCGTCTTACTTAGAGACGTTAAACATAGAGGGCCACAAATTTATCAGTGCTTGGTTGGCTGCTGTCACGTGTCACCCTCTTTAAAACAAAGAGGTTACTATTATTATTAAGACTCATCAATCAATCTTTATAATCGTTTTTCATTATATTACACAATATTTCTTTTGAATAGCTTACTATGTACATTGAGCATATTTAGAGTTCATTTTTGAAACGTTAAGTCTTTAAACTTTACACAGCTGGTGGAAAAACCAGCTGCAGTCTCGTGGTTAGAGTATAGATTTTTTTAAAGTTCAGTTTATTCAAAAGTTATTGAACTAAAGTACCTTGATTTTAATGTTAGGTCTAAATTTAATTGAATCACTTTGAGTATATTGATCAGTTATCAAATGCTTGCCTGCTTGTTTTCTTCCCAGCTTCTTTCCTTGGCTGCTTCTTGCCTGTTTGCTCGCTCTCTCGCTTGCTTCAGTGCTCGCTTGCTTGTTTGCCTGCGTACTTGCTTGTTGCCTGCATGCTCATTCGCTCGCTTGCTTCAGTGCTTGCTTGCTTGTTGGTTGGTTGGTTGGTTGGTTGGTTGGTTGGTTGGTTGGTTGGTTGGTTGGTTGGTTGGTTGGTTGGTTGGT